ACATGACCTGTTACTTTCTTTTTTGTTCTGAGTTTGAGTTGGAGTTATGTCATTAATTGCCCATGAGAAACTCATGTTACTTATAACTTAACTGTATTCATTTATTAAAGACGGGCCCCTAGGAAAGCCTAGTGTGTAATAAAACAAAAATTCTTTCCAGAAAAGCTGGGGAATAGCTACTAATTAAATAAAAATCATTACATACAAATGGGAAATTTTTTGAGAACGGGAGAATATATTAAAAATAAGCAAACCTTTTTAGTGTTACAAAAGGTAGTTCAGAACTTAATATAAAATCACTACAATTATCAACATTTTATAGAGATCTAAAGATATGTGTAGTTACATTTAAAAATCAATCCCCTCAGGATGCCTGGGTGGCTCAGTTGGTTAAGCATCTGCCTTTGGCTCAGATCATGGTCCCAGGGTCCTGGGATTGAGCCCCATGTCAGGCTCCATGTTCGGCGGGAAGCCTGCTTCTCCCTCTCCCACTCCCCCTGCTTGTGTTCCCTCTCTCACTGTGCCTCTCTCTATCAAATAAATAAAATCTTCATATGATCTCACTGATATGAGGAATTCTTAATCTCAGGAAACAAACTGAGGGTTGCAGGAGTGGTAGGGGGTGGGAGGGATGGGGTGATAGACATTGGGGAGGGTATGTGCTATGGTGAGCGCTGTGAATTGTGTAAGACTGATGAATCACAGACCTGTACCTCTGAAACAAATAATACATTATATGCTAAAAAAAAAAAAGAAGAAGAAGAGGAAGAAGATAGTAGGAAGGGTAAAATGAAGAAGGGGAAATTGGAGGGGGAGACGAACCATGAGAGACTATGGACTCTGAGAAACAAACTGAGGATTCTAGAGGGGAGGCGGGGTGGGAGGGATGGGTTAGCCCGGTGATGGGTATTAAAGAGGGCACGTTCTGCATGGAGCACTGGGTGTTATACACAAACAATGAATCATGGAACACTGCATCAAAAACTAATGATGTAATGTATGGTGATTAACATAACATAATAAAAAAATAAAAATAAATAAAAGGAAAAAATAAATATATTAAAAAAAGAAAGTTATACTAAGAAGAAATATTGCAGCCTTCTCTCCCTTTATTATTAAAGAAGGAACTCACTAATCTTAGTAAAGGAAAAGAATACAAAGTAATATCTTACAAAAATAGAAAAAAATGAGCTGAAAAAGGTGAAAAACTGATCAAGATAAAAATCACAGATTAAGGAAATAATAAAGTACAACGGCCATTAAAACACTCTAAAGGCTAATACTTCTTCAGAGAAGTGTCTTTTCATATCTTCTGCCCATTTTTTTACTTGATTATTTGTTTTTTGGGTGTTGAGTTTGAGAAGTTCTTTATAGATCTTGGATACCAGCCCTTTATCTGTAGTGTCATTTGCAAACATCTTCTCCCATTCTGTGGGTTGCCTCTTCGTTTTGTTGACTGTTTCCTTTGCTGTGCAGAAGCTTTTTATCTTGATGAAGTCCCAAAAGTTCATTTTTGCTTTTGTTTCACTAGCTTTTGGAGATGTATCTTGAAAGAAGTTGCTGTGGCCGATGTCAAAGAGGTTACTGCCTATGTTCTCCTCTAGGATCTTGATTGATTCCTGTCTCACATTGAGGTCTTTCATCCATTTTGAGTTTATCTTTGTGAATGGTGTTAGAGAATGGTCGAGTTTCATTCTTCTGCATGTGGCTGTCCAATTTTCCCAGCACCATTTATTGAAAAGACTGTCTTTTTTCCATTGCATGTTTTTTCCTGCTTTGTCAAAGATTATTTAACCATAGAGTTGAGGGTCCATATCTGGGTTCTCTATTCTGTTCCATTGGTCTATATGCCTGTTTTTGTGCCAGTAACACGCTGTCTTGGTGATCACGGCTTTGTAATATAGCTTGAAATCAGGCAACGTGATGCCCCCAGCTTCGTTTTTCTTTTTCCTTGGCAATTAGGGGTCTTTTCTGATTCCATACAAATTTTAGGATTGTTTGTTCCAGCACTTTGAAAAATGTCATTGGAATTTTGATCAGGATGGCACTGAAGGTATAGATTGCTCTGGATAGCATAGACATTTTAACAATGTTTATTCTTCTGATGAGCATGGAATATTTTTCCATCTTTTTGTGTCTTCTTCAATTTCTTTCATGAATGTTCTGTAGTTCCTAGAGTATAGATCCTTTACCTCTTTGGTTAGGCTTATTCCGAGGTATCTTATGGTTTTTGGTGCTATTGTAAATGGAACTGTTTCTCTAATTTCTCTTTCTACAGTTGCGTTGTTAGTGTATAAGAAAGCAACTGATTTCTGTGCATTGATTTTTGTATCCTGCCACATTACTGAATTGCTGTATGAGTTCTAGTAATTTGGGGGTGGAGTATTCTGGGTTTTCCACATCAAGTATCGTGTCGTCTGCGAAAAGAGAGTTTGATTTCTTCTTAGCCAATTTGAACACCTTTTATTTCTTTTTGTTGTCTGATTGCTGTTGCTAGGACTTCTAGTACTATGTTGAACAATAGTGGCGAGTGTGGGCATCCTTGACGTGTTCCTGATCTTAAGGGAAAGGCTTTCAGCTTTTCCCCATTGAGGATGATATTCGCTGTGGGTTTTTCATAGATAGATTTTATGAACTTGGGGAATGTTCCCTCTATCCTTATACTCTGAAGACTTTTAATCAGGAAAGGATGTTTTATTTTGTCAAATGCTTTTTCTGCATCAATTGAGAGGACCATATGGTTCTTCTCCCTCCTCTTATTAATCTGTTCTATCACATTGACTGATTTGCGAATGTTGAACCACCCTTGCATCCCGGGGATAAATCCCACTTGGTTGTGGTGGATGATCCTTTTAATGTATTGTTGGATCCTATTAGCTAGGATTTTGTGGAGGATTTTGGAATCCATATTCATCAGGGATATCGGTCCGAAATTCTCCTTTTTGATGGGGTCTTTGCTTGGTTTGGGGATTAAGGTAATGCTGGCCTCAGAATGAGTTTGGAAGTTTTCCTTCTGTTTCTATTTTTTGAAACAGCTTCAGTAGAATAGGTATTATTTCTTCTTTGAACGTTTGGTAGAATTCCCCAGGGAATAAGAAGACATACAAATGGCTAACAGATACATAAAAAAATGTTCATCATCATTAGCCATCAGGGAAATTCAAATCAAAACCACATTGCGATACCACCTTACACCAGTTAGAATGGCAAAAATGGACAGGGAAAGAAACAACAAATGTTGGGAGAGGTTGTGGAGAAAGGGGAACCCTCTTACACTGTTGGTGGGAATGCAAGTTGGTACAGCCACTTTGGAAAACAGTGTGGAGGTGCCTCAAAAATTTAAAACTAGAGCTACCCTATGCCCCAGCAATTGCACTCCTGGGTATTTACCCCAAAGACACAGATGTAGTGAAAAGAAGGGCCATATGCACCCCAATGTTCATAGCAGCAATGTCTGCAATAGCCAAACTGTGGAAAGAGCTGAGATGCCCTTCAACAGATGAATGGATAAAGAAGATGTGGTCCATATCTACAATGGAATATGACTCAGCCATCAGAAAGGATGAATACCCAACTTTTACATCCACATGGATGGGACTGGAGGAGATCATGCTAAGTGAAATGAGTCAAGCAGAGAAAGTCAATTATCATATGGTTTTGCTTATATGTAGAACATAAGGAATAGCACGGAGGACATTAGGAGAAGGAAGGGAAAAATGAAGGGGGGGAATAGGAGGGAGAGACGAACTATGAGAGATGATGGACTCTGAGAAACAAACTGAGGGTTCTAGAGGGGAGGGGGTGGGGGGATGGGTTAGCCTGGTGATGGGTATTAAGGAGGGCACGTACTGCATGGAGCACTGAGTGTTATACGCAAACAATGAATCATGGATCACTACATCAAAAACTACTGATGTATTGTACGGTGACTAACATAAAATAATAAAATTAAAAAAAATAAATAAAGGCTAATACTTTTAAAAGCTAAATAGAGAAACATCTTTTGAGTATGTTCATGGGGAAAAGAGAGTGTGTGTGTGAGTGATTAGAGAGGACAAACGACATAATTCAGAATAAATTAAAATAAGTTTTTAAGAATATATTCAGGTATTAACCAATTTGTTAACTCAGGTGAAAGGAGTAATTCCCCAAAAAAGATAAAAGTTACTTAAAAACTGAACCAAATAGAAAGAGAAAGGTTGAATAATTTCCATAAGAGTTTGAAAGAAGGGTTTAAAAGTTATCATTTTTAAAAAGACCAGGAGCAGGTGGTTTCACCAATGAGTTCACTCTAATTTTTAAAAAAAGCAAGGAATTTCAATATTATTTGAATTATTGCAGGCCATAGGAAAATATTAAAATCTCACCCATTCATTTGGTGAAGTTGAGATTATCTTAGAACCCAAACCTGATTAACAAAAGTATAAAAAATATATAAATTATAATTCAATGGCCTCAAATAAAAATTTCAGCAATTTATCAAAAGGATAATATGACAAGTGGAGTTCTTTCAAAGAATACAAGAATGGCTCACTATAGGAAATGTATCATCATCAACAAATTGAGGGATAATCTAATTATGATAACGAATGACAAAAAAAGTATTTCATAAAAATTCAGTCATTCCTAATACAAACAGGTAATTTAGTTACCAAATAGAAGTATTTAAAAATAGCACTTAACAAAACATTAATACACATACAAATAGTTAATCCTTAGACTCCACTGATTAAATGTCTGAGATACTCTTAATATAGCTGAATGCTTAAATTATGGTGAAGTTTGGTGGTATGAATTGAGAAAGATGAATAGGTTTCAAACTTTCTACATACACTTATCAAACACACATACATGCATATACATATCTATGTACATGCATTCACACACATAAATACCATCAAATCCATATATAAAAATATATGTGCATCCCCTCAAAGAAAATATATACAACATACATAATTACACATTTGTGCTTATTCTATGTTAAAATACTAGTTTACCTGTTTGGGGAGTCGGAACAAAGAATTCTTATAGAAAATGTCCTTAGCCTGGCTCCATGTACCATCAATGATGATGATTGTGGAAGGATAAATAGGAGAATCTAATATAAATTCTTCCAAATTAGCAGCTTCAGCCCCTGGATATAATATTAATGTATCAGACTTCCGACAAACAGTTGAAAGTTCAGGATCTCTAAAAATTTAAAAAGAAAACCATCATTAGCTTGTGAGGGAAAAAAAGTTTAACTATTCTTACCATAGTTCCTTCCAAAATACACGTCAAAGCATTTTAGTACTGGAGATGTAAGAATGAATGAGACAGCCTCTGTCTGCAAGCAATAAAACAACCTGGAAGGGTTGAGCTAAAGAGTTAAAGCTAAAAGAGTCTACTGAAGACAATAAACGGCATCTTCTTCAAACTGATAAATGGCATCTACAAAAATGTATGTCAATATCATATTTTGCAATTTCCCTTGAGATTGGGATCAAGGTAAAAATGTTGGCTTTCACCACTCCTAATACACATCGTACTAAGCTCCCAGTTATTGCAATAAAGAAAAAGAAATAAAAGGCATAAAGATCAAAAATGACCTTATTAGCAGATGATAATGCTACTTCCATAGAAAGTTCTAGGGAAGCTACAAAACAATTTCAGTAAGTACCAAATGAATTTAGAAAGATACAGGGATGATACACAAAACCCAACTGTTTTCTTCTATACTAGAGGCAAAAAATTGAAGGTAAGTACTTTTAAATTCCATTTACAAAGGATACCAAAAGCAGTAGGTCTCTTAACCATTCCTCCATGGTTACATCATGTACTCTAAAAAAGCTTAAATTAATATCATTCAGTTGCCAGATATTTAATTAATAATATTAATTGGCTTTAGTTTAAAAATCCATCAGTGAATAATAATTTACTGAAAAAGTACTATGTTAGGCTCCAAAGGAAAAAAACTGAACTATTTAATATAATAGATTCAAAATGGGATGAGCTATTTGCAAATGCATCAAGTTTCTCATCCACAAACACACTTGTGGAGGGACTAGATAGCCAAGTGTCAGGAATGACCAAGATAGTTTAGATACTCAACACTTTTGCAATGAAATAATCTGGATCCAAGCTGGCAGGTGGATCAAGTTTGGATATATCTGTATCCACCTACGAATTATAAAGAGACTACCATTCATTATAAAGAGACCCTATGTGAAAGAAATGCCACAATGTAAATGATATGGACACTCCCCACGTGAAGGGCTCTGGATATCACGCACATTCCCAGCAAAATGGCAAAATTCACAACAGCACCACCAAGCCCAAAGCAAATCTCATCTCTGAGGGCAAGGCAAAAGAAAACTGTGTATGAGAAAAGTGTTCCTAAACAATAGTTTCAGAGAAGGGAAAAAATGATTTTATAAAGTTCTAACATGATATTTTCATAATTTGAAACTAAATAATAAAGGAACCTAAAATAATAAAGGAAGGGAAAAGTTTGGTCAATTCCCTGGGCTTGGAGCTATCACTAGCCTTACTTAGCATTTTCATAAGTGGACTGAAAAAGAAATCTCTGTATTTTCAAAAGAAATTAAATTTTGCATCTAAAAATATACTTAACTGTGCAGGTAAGACAAAATAATTAGTGAAGGCTTTGTGAATGGGCAGGAAAGCAAAAAAATATGCTTCAAAGATAAGAAAAGACTTGTAGAAAAATTAAATATACACATAGTATATAATATGTATTTATGATAATGGGTCATGTACTAGAGTATGAAATAAGATCCAAGAACATTACAGAACTGTCAGTGAGGTTATCAACTAATGGGCTGCTACCTATAAAATACTGGGTATCATCAAAAAGAGTATTTTAAGTATGACAGGAGAAGGCATTCTATCCTTTAAAAAAATGTGATGTTCCTATAACAAGAATACTAAATATAGTACTAGTCACTGTGCCTTAGGAAAGCCTTAATGAGCTAGAATTGGATAAATATGTGTTCATTTACATAAATGTATAGCATATATAATTGTTAATTTAAAAAAAGAAAGAAGAAAAAACACAACTAAATCTAATACAAGTACTCTACCATCTTGAAGGCAGTTTTAACAAAAATCAAAGAGTAAGTACATGCCTTTTAGGCTCAACATACATTCCTATAGAATTGAGATAATCCCTCTGTTTATTACATTTTGGCCTGTGTTTTCTGAGGGTATTTTTGTTCATGTTTTGATTTGTCTTGTATTATTTTGAAAAAGAAGGCAAAACAATTTTTTTTTACCTCTTCCAATGTACCATGTCTGGGTCTGATGGATAAGGTGAAGGAAACCATTTTTTAAAGATCTGTATAGATAAGACTTATTCTCAATTGCCCTAAAAGGTAATTTACCTTTCTTCACTGAAGCGACGACCAATCTTGACTTTACACTTGTCCTGGGGGAGGCATGCTGTTAATAGGGGAACTGTCCGCAGCACTTTGTTTTCCTTTAATTAAAAAATTAATTAAAACATAGGTTTTCGCTTAGACAAACACACATTTAAAACTTTCATGATGAACAACTGAATCACTACATGATATATAACTTTCACAAGACGTTCATTACAGACCACAGTTTAATAAAAAGAGCTATAGTTTTTCTGATTTATCAGTATTAAACAAGTGCACATTTTCATTCTACTTGAGTGTGTTTAGAGGTTTACTGATCAAATAAGAAGATAACATTAACCTAAATAATGGTTAAGATTATGAAAAATGAAATCTGTATTTAACTAAATTGAATCATTTATTCTGACAAATTTTATTTCTGTAGTAATTACATTTTATAGTATGTCAACTTGAAGACGATTGCCTAAATCTTTACGTCCAGAAAAGAAGGAAGTGCTGAAAAAAACAAGGTCATGGGGCACATCAAAGTGACAGAGAAGCCAATCTTAAAGAGCTCCCCATGACCAAAATGGTACAATTTGAGAAACAAAGTAAGTAGCAAAGTATTTGGATTATGACCTAAAATACAAAATAAATAGGAGAGAAGAGATAAATCTTCCTTATAGAAGAATTCCAAGTAGTAAACGTAAGTACTCAGTACTCCAGGAGGTGGAGCTTAATGTCTCCTACCCATCTGAATGTGGGCTCGATTTACGGCTTACTTCCAAACAATAATATGGAAAGAGAAAAATATAATAACCTTAGAGCAGAGAAATCTGGTGACCATTGCTGTAAACTCCACCAACTATCATCAGTGTTTTTTTCCAACTCTGAAAACCACCTTTCCTGTCACAACAATTCCATCCTTTATGCTAGTATACCCAGCTGAGTTGCTGTTTTGCCGGAGCCTGCCTCTGCTCGATTATTTTCATCTAGTGATCAGTCATCGTCTGGCTCTTCTCTACTGGCCCGACTGGAAATGTTAAGCCTGATCTAATCAGTGCCAGGAGCCCTCTCTAAGCAGTTCACCTACATAAAGACCCCTGTTACCTCTATTACTTTATATAACATTGCTTATATATATATATCCTCAGAGCAAATAATGTGACCACTATAGCACATTAATACACACAGCATATTAATACACAGAAGAGTGATGTTTCATATGAATTTACTAGAGTAACGAAAAATAAGTTTATAATTATATTACATTATAAACTTATGTTTATAACAGAAACAAAAAGTATGGTAGTAACAGTATTCAACACACACACACAAATACACCCTTCGGGGACATTTTTGTGTTAACCTCTTTTGCCCTAGGTCTCTGAAGTGTTGATTAAAATAATATGACAAGGTAAATCTAGAAACGCCGAGAGTAGTTAAATTCATCTACCTAAAGTTGGAAAACGAAATAGGAGAGTCAGAATTTGTTGGGATTTGCAACTAAAAAGAACATGTAGCAAGCCAGAGCTGTGAGGAGCCTGAAACCAATCCGGAGCAGCTCCTACCACGAATGGGATGAGGAGAGGTGAAGTGAGAGGTTTGAGACACTGTCCAGTATGTTCTACTGTTTTCTTCCCTCCTTACTATAGCTATGGGACTATGACACATACTACCTAAACTACTCTCCCACTTCTACCCACATACGTATATATGTCAAATTAAATAGTGCAGTGCCAAAAGATTTATAATGTTCCCAGAAACACTCCCCACTACCACTTCCCAAAGCCAATCACTTTAATTTTTTCAGCTATTTCTTCTAGTGGTTATCTCCATATTTGTATAAAACATGTGTGTCTTACTAGTTCTTGATTTATCAATTTTAAATATTATTTACAAACTACCATTTATCATCATCATCATAGCTGACTCTAATGTACATGATTCTAAGTACATTATAGACAGATGGACAGAGAGGGAGAGAGACAGATTCATTTACCACTCACAATAAACCAGTGAAGAAGTGTATCTTTTATCATGTCCATTTTCCTAATGATGAAACTAAAGCACAGAGAGGTTAATTAACTTGCCCAGGGTTATAGTTAACAGAGCTATTAAGGCTTCAAATTCAAGCAATCTAGCTCCAGAGCCCTTACTCTTAATTAATGCACTATATAACCACAGCCTCTTATAATAAATGAGGATTTACCTTTCTTCCAGCACTCCTTACCATCACATCTTCTCATATTTTTAATTAAATCAATAAACAGTGCTTATATCACTATGGCTACATTAATACTGTTCACAAACGAAGGCCACACGGTTTCACAGAACATTTCTTCCTTATAGATATTTTTGTTACTTTTGAGATAACTATTTTATTTTATTCTGAAGCTTTTGAGATAACTTTTATTTTTAAGTACTTTTCTAGATACTTATACCTCCTCTTTAAAATGCTCCATCATATCACCTCCGTATCATCTACTCCACCAAATCATCTTTTCCCAAAGCCTCCTCCTAAATCCTATCTAAATGGTCTTCAATCACTTTTTAGGGGGAGTCATCAAACCGGTATGCTCTATTACAGTTCTATATATTTGCTCTATTCATTAAAGGAATAAAACTTTATTTTATACGTTCTTTTTATAACACTAAAATACTGACAGTTACTTCTACTTTAACAAGAAACATTAAGAAATATAACCTATGATCAAAATTTAAAAAGCAATGATTTTCTTAGTTCTTCACTCACAAAATTTCATTTTTTCTTCACACAAAATTGTTGTTCTAAATTTCTATACTATTCAATGACCGTTTTTATGAAATAACAATTTTTATGTCTCTAAAGCATATGACACGATACTATAAAACATAAAAGAAACTTTTTTCCCAAAAACAAAGCATTTATCATCAATTTATTTTCAGAAATGTTAAAGAGCTGGAAGGTATGAATATGTTCATCAGTGTGTTTCCTCTTACATACTAATAAAATAAAGTATGTATTTTACAAAATCTTACCTCTGCTGGATGCTGAATTATGTACAAATGAGTAGAGATGTGCAGAGGATGCAATGGTAGAAATGGACACAAACATACTTTCTGAGGCCGGCTAAAGGGCAGAAAAAAAAAAAAAAAACCTGTAAATGTTTAGAATACGGTGATATAACAATAACCTAAAACTTGAACGTAATCCCTCTTCTTTATGTAAAGAGATTTGCTGAAGCTGCATTCTTTTAAAATGAAACACCAAGAATGAATTTAATCAATTAGACTTTAGAAATGAGAATTTGGAGGAACGCCTGGGTGGCTCAGTTGGTTAAGCACCTGCCTTCGGCTCAGGTCATGATCCTGGGGTCCTGGGATCGGGTCCCGCATTGGGCTCCCTGCTCACTGGGGAGCCTGCTTCTCCCTCTGCCTGCTGCTCCCCCTGCTTGTGCTCTCTCTCTCTCTCTCTGACAAGTAAATAAATAAAAAAAATAATTTTAAAAAAGGAAATGAGAATTTGGAAAAGGATTCAAGTAAATTCCGTACCATCTATATAGGTCAAAGTACCTCAAAAAATCCTGTCTTAGTTATCATTAGTGAAGAATACTCATAAGCCACCATCATGGTCTTTTTATTCACGAAGCAACACTTCTATCTACTAACTGGCATTCCAAATCAAAAATAGATCCAATATCAAAGAGAAACCTGGCAACTCTTCTAAATCATCTGATATTGGAAGGAACAATATGATAAAATATAAGACTATAATTACCACCTAGAAGAGAGTTCTAATCAAACTTGCCAATCAATCAACACAAAGAGCTTACTAGTGTAAAAAGAAACCCAAAGGGCCACCAGATTATATTTAGCTAAAATTGTATCCACAGAATGTCTGTCTTATCCATTTATTTTCCCTTTTGTTATTGTTCATTTTGTTTTTGTTGTACTTACTTTTTAGTGCTTTACTATTGTTTCAGTAACACTTATGACTCATTACAAAATTCAAATGGAATAAAGTATATATTTCCATCTCAGTCCTCCAAACTAGGGGATTCTCTTCCCTAGGGGCAACCAATGACCAGTTCCTTGTGTGTCTTTACAAATGTAATATGGAAATATACATGGATCTTCCACCATTAAATCCCATATTTGGTATGTGTGTTTATAATATGAAATTCATCAAGCAGCCAGATATCATGGGAGTAAATTTTCATGACAGATCACTATTACAGGCAGATGTTACATGCCATTACAACAGTACACAAATGAATGTTACATTAAAGGGAATTCCCAACAGCATACTGTTACTACTACAAAACTGACTGCTATCAACTCCTTCCTCAGTTTAACTTATGTAGAGTTATAGCCTGAGGTAAGAAATGATTACATTAATAAAGCACAGAGTGTGAGGAAATTGGTTCACTTGCATCTATCACCTCATTCTGTAAGAAACTGTCAAATCTATGTTCCTGCTGAAAAAATTATCTAAATGATATCTGAGAAGTAGAAATATATTGTACAACGTGATCCTATCTCCCCTCTCCACCATGGAACCTAGAATAGATGGTTAACCCAAGGAAAACCAATATACTCCCTTTCCAGTGATGTCTGAAATGATTCAGTATGATTACTCTGCCCTACAATGTATTCCCTCTCAGGAATGCAAGCAGATTAATAGGGATGGAGAACATCTTTCAGGGGTCAGGAGAAGAGTAAACACAAGTAAATACAGAGAGGAGCAGGGAGTGGTTGATGGAACTATATATATTGACAAAGAGATCAAGGGCTGCGACTAGAAGAAAAAAAAAAGATTACTCACTGAGTAGAAAGATGAAGAGGATGAAGTACATTCAAATTCTAAAATTTTAAGATTCTGATTTTTTATATGAAACTCTATATGACTGAAATGCACAATCAGATGTCAGTAAACTTCTTTTATAAAATGTAATTTAATAACAGATGAAACCAATTTAAAAATTCAGAATGAAAATGAGTATCACCAGGTGCCTGACTGGCTCAGTCAGTAGAGCCTGCAACTCTTGATCTCAGAGTCACGAGTTCAAGCCCCATGTTGGTTTAAAAATATATATATTTTTAAAAAAGGATATCACCTTAAATGTCTGTAAATTGTATGACAGGCTATGAAAGAATGCAAAAAAAAAAAAAAAATCAAACACCCCATAAAGGAAACATCCACATATCAGGAAAGTTAAAGAACTGCAAAATCCAGTCAAGTAAACAAACTGAGGAGATGCTGCAAATTTTTGTGGGCAGAAAACCACTATGTAAAATGAACCCTGAAAATAATATCTTTAGTTCATCACACATATAGTGATTATAAAAGTCCTCAGTATGATATTTGAGATAGTGCAAAGAACTGCTCTAGATTTTGGTAGCTCTGGTTTTCATGTCCGACCAAAACTGCCATTCAAAAAGAGAGAAAAAAAAAAATCAGTTACCTGGAATCAGTTTCCTTCCTGGGAACACATCTTTGAACTGTAGGAAGATTTAGTATTAACCAGTTTGGAGAGTTCCACTTCCAGGATGACAAGGAAAGCGCTTCACAGACCCAGAGTCCAGTGAAATAAGCAAAGCTGACAAAAGCTATTTTAAAAAACAATCACTGAAAAATAGAGCTACCCTAGGATCCAGCAATTTCACTACTGGGTAGTTTCCCAAAGAATACAAGAACACTTACTTCATAGGGATACATGCATCCCTATGTTTATAGCAGCATCATTTACAATAGCCAAATCATGAAAGCAGCCCAAGTGTCCATGGACTGATGAATGGATAAAGAAGCAGTGGTATATATATACAGTGGAATATTACTCAGCAGTAAAAAGAATGAAATCTTGCCATTTGCAACAACATGGACGGAGCTAGAGAGTATAATGCTAAACAAAATAAGTCAGACAGAGAAAGACAAATACCATATGATTTCACTATTATGTGGAATTTAAGAAACAAAAAAAGGGGGAAAAAGAGAGAGAGAGGCATACCAAGAAACAGACCTAACTATAGAGGACAAACTGATGGTTGCCAGAGGGGAGGGTGAGTGGGGGGAATGGGGAAATAGGTGATGGGGATTAAAGAGAGCACTTAGGATGAGCATGAATGAGCACCAAGTGATGTATGGAATTCTTGAATCACTGTATCATACACTTAAAACTAATATAATACTGAATGTTAACTAACTAGAATGAAAATTAAAAGTTTAAAACAAACAAACAAAACCAATCACTGAAGAAAGTCTCTGGAAACTGTCCTAGGGGCATATTCAAAGGAAGAAACATTATTCAAGAAAATCTACTAAAACTTGGTACTGGGACAGTTTGTGACATCTGAGCCATAACCAATTTCCTACTTTGCTCTGGCTCAAGATGACAAACTCCACTCCTGGTAGGTGAGCTCCCTCTCAGCTCTTAATCAAGGCTTACCCTGTATGTCACAAAAAAGACAGGCCACCAGCATTTCTCATCCCCAACTCCAAGCAGAAGAGGCTACATTCCTGGTGAGAGTGACCAAGAGAGCAGAGGTGGCCTTCCTCTACACAGTCTCCACCTATAAAACAGAAGCTTGACCACCGTGCAGGAGGCTGGCTGGTGACGCTGGAGCTCCAAGAGCAGTCAACCTAGTTTGCTCACAGGACATAAGTTCTACACCAGAAGCAGCCCTGTGCCCAGAACAGTGGCTAGGAGAGTTTGCCCAAGAGAGGCAGACTGTAAGAAAAGAGAGCTCTGAAGCTCTTCCCAAAAGAACTAAATCCATTTGAAACAGAGCGTGAGCAAGTTCAAGCCCAAGGGTGCTCTCAAAGATAATGACTCCCCCCGTTTTTTAAAAAAATATATTTTATTTATTTATTTGACAGAGAGAGAGAGAGAGAGCATGCACAAGCAGGGGGAACGGCAGGCAGAGGGAGAAGCAGGATCCCCGCTGAGCAGGGAGCCCGATGCGGGGCCCCATGCCAGGACCCTGGGATCATGACCTGAGCCGAAGGCAGACGCTTAACCAACTGAGCCACCCAGGCACCCGGATAATAATTCCTCTTAATGAAGACCAGCAAGCTATATGATAAACCAGCTAGATCATCAGAAAGAACCAAGAAGAGCACACCTGCCGTCAGAGCAAACCTCAGAGTGGCCTCAAAAACCGCCCCTGCCCCTGGAGCAGACTATTGAGAAATTTATAGCCAGGGCACTGTATGGAAATGATAGGACAATCAGCTGGTAATTAGTGCAGCCTAACAAGCAGGATGTGATACCAAAAGAAGAAGGCTGCTTCAGAGAAAGATCTGGAAAAGAGACCTTCAAAGAGAAACCTGCTAAAACCTTTGTGAGAGTGGTGATGTTTGCACAACTCAGCTAATATAACAAAAACCTCTGACTTGTATACCTTAAAAGAATGAATTGGTATGTGAATCGTATCTTAATACAGCTGTTATTTTTAAAAATGTAAAATTGCAGTAGAAAAAGAATATTCAACCTAATTAGTAAGAGAGAGGCATTTTGTTACTATTGGCATTATCTGTAGGTGGCCCTCCTTCCCTACAATGTAAGCTGCAGGAGGGCGAAGACTTGGCCTTTTCACTTTTCACCCCAGCACCTAGCACAGTAAGCTATCAATAAATACTGAATACTTGAAGGAATACCTTTGCATTCCTTCTTGCCTCCACCTCGGGATGCCTTCCTCCTCCTACATAATTTCTTATCCTATCCCTTCATTTTCTTAACATATCAAATATTGATCTCTCCTTCATTTCCTCTCTAATACTTGAGCAATTAGTTTGTATCATAAAAGAAATTCAGAATCTCAGATCTCCCTTTGCTGTAATTTGTGATCATTCTGGTAAGCAGTAGTACATAAGAGGCAAAAATATTTACTGAAGAAAATATTTATTTAAAAAAAACAGCATTTTACGTGTAAACACCATAACTATGATTTAAGCTAAAACTAATTGCTGTGGCTTCTACCTTGACAGGCTCATAAAACATCATTACCTATTTATTTTAAAGCATGTCCCCTTTATTAACCTAATTCTAATTCCAATTAGCTCAAACTAATAAAACTACAGTTCTTTAAAACACTTTGCATTCCAATCGATCAACTTTATGTTTAGCAAGT